GTTGTGAGAGCCGAAATGTGGGACCTTTTCGCTGCCTATTACTCCTTAGATAGATGGTCAACAGCGACGCTCAGAGGCCTAACTCATTTCTGCAGCAGTTCAGGCAAACCCAAGTTATTGCTTATTTTTACTTTGTGATTTTCTGTTAAAGAATCTCAGAGATCTAAGATATTGTAAAAATAGCAGGGATCTCTTTAGAGACAGGAATCTCTTCTTAGCATTAATAAAAATGATGTGAACAAATGTGATGTTGATGTTAGTTGCTTCAGAATTATTACCCCACCCTCAAGACTACTGTTGTCCTTGCTCCAAACACCTTCTACTTTTAATTTTATCCTTTGAGACAGTAAGAGCACCACCAAGTCACCAGCCAGGGTCTTTTACAAGGTTATATATCTTGAATTTCTTTGCTTGGTGGCTGGCACTGAACTTTGAAACAGTATTTAAATTTTCACAGGAAGTACTTTATTGCCTGACACATTGCTTGCTGTTGGAGATCCAATGGAGGGACAGTCTGCCCTCAGGAGGCTTACAAGATAGCGAAGAACACAGGGAAGCCAACCAATTGTATGACGGATAATTTTAATGGTTTGAGGGTTGGGGGCAATGATTGATGGGGAAGCACACATCCATTCAGATTTGGGAGTCTGGACAAACTTTCTCGGGACAGGAGTGAAACTGAATTCAAAAGGGTAGGACTGGGGCACTAACGAGGCTGGAGTATCTATCATTCTAGAATGTCGGCACAAATGCTTAGCGATCAGACGCAGCGTGGCAAAGGGGTTTTCTATTGGCGATAGGCAGAGCGGGGAGAGGTTTTCCATCACAAGGAAAGCCAATCACTCCCATGGTGCCTGAAGTTTCCAACTTTTCTTTTTATGATGTTGAGTGTTTTCTATCCTATTTCTGTGTGTATAGGTGTCATACGTGTGTTTTCAACAAAATTAAATTTGAAGTATTTCAAATATACACAGGAGAAAATACTGTAACTAAAATCTGTGTAGACATACATAGTGTTATCAAATCTCAACACCTTGCCATAGTAGAGATCAGGTTTTACCTATTCTGACACAAGCTCCGACTTACAGAATAGCCAAAAAAATAATACAAAGAATTCCCATAGGAAAAATTCCACTATACTCTCCACCTCAACTAGCCCAAATGTTAACATTTTACTGCATGTATTTTTCACCTTTTCAACCCATTCCTCTCCTCTCTCTTCTTTGAAATGTATACATACATATATATACACACACATATACAATAACTATTATTTGTGGGCACCATATTCCATTGCTTCTTTTTGTTGCCATGCACTGTTTAATGAACATAACTTGAGGAAAAGTCTTGACATATGACAGGGTAATTTTGCTTACTTTGTTATTTTTCTTCAAAATTATGCTTACTGCCCTTATGCTTTTGATTTTCTATCTATATAGTAGAACCAAGTTTATTGAAAAACACCATTAATATTGTAGTTGGAACTGTGTTGAAGTTATAGATTATTTTTTGAGAAATTAACATCGTTTTAATCATCTTTAGAATCAGTAGGTCCTAAAAAAAGAATATGTAGGTCTTATTTATTTTATATTGTTCAATTTTTTCCCTCCAAAACATTTTAAAATATGTTTTTTGTGAGGTACCTTATAACTTGTTGTTGGAAATGATACATTTTCTCTTGTTTGTTTCCTATATGTGTTATTGGTGAATAGAAAAGCTGCTGATTTTAGTAAAGTGATCTCACATTAAGCAATATTATGGAGCTCTTATTCTAATACTATTCTCTGTAAAATAATTTGGTTATTTCTACATGGAAAATTCTAATTGTCTGCAATGAATACCTTGGATTTTTGTACTTCTTACTAGATCTTCTTAGCTATTTGCATTTCAGTATAACATTTAAGAGGTGTTTCAATTTCATCACATCTGCCTTGCCTTGCTTTTAATAGATTTTCACCATCATCTGTGATCTTTTTTGTAAGTTTCTAATAAGTATTCTTTAACTTGTCATACACTTGTTGCGTTTACTATTTGCTAACGCTGCATCTGCAACCCTGCTGGCAGAGTGCTTCTGCATTGGACCGCTAACAGGAAGGTGAGCAGTTAGAAACCAGCAGACACTCTGAGGGAGAAAGAAGGCTTGTACTCCAGCAACAGTTCCAGGCTCAGGATCCCACAGGGGCAGTTCGTCAAGCCTGTCCTATGGGGTCGCTGTGAATCCGAACGGACTGGGTGGCATTGTGCGTGGTTTGCTTTAATGCTGTGTTCTGGGTGAATTTCTTTTATGATCTTCCAGTTTACTAAATGTGTATTCCGTTTAATCCAATCTCATTTCTTTCTTTCCATTTTGTGATAAACATGAGACAAAAAGCACTGGTTATTTCAACGATCTTCAGCAGTGATATTCAGTATGTCCATTACACTCCCATAGTCTGCAACTGGCAATACTTTTGCTACTTAACCTAGGAATTGGCATGCAACATTTTTTAAATGTAAGTCATCCCTCTTGTTACTAGCCAACAGGTCTTATTGGGTATTTTGGATTTAAGACACTTTTCTTTGCTATTACACTGTTAGAGTCAATCACTTGATCTGCAATGTCAGCTTTTAATTTTAAGATTAAAACTCCAATGACCTTATGCTAACTTACCACTTTCTGTTCCATCTCTGGTACATGTCCTAACACCACCACCCCCAACCGCACACGCAAGCACACACACACAAACACATACACACACACACATCAATGCTTCAAGAAGTTCATAGGAAAATGGAATTAAAAGATAATGGAATATTCCCACAAAAATTTTAAAAGCCCCGATGGATATATTCATCCCCATCACACTCTGTCTTTTGGAAAGGCAAGCTTTATTGAAAGCATCCTGAAAGAGCACCATGATTATAATCTGGTAGAAGGAGGCAGGCACCTAGTTGTGTGTCTCTTTGGCATGGTCTCGGTTGGGAGTCTCTCCTATGCCTGTTAACTGCCCAACCACTTTCCTTTTTAGGTTGAAGTACACAAGTAGGCGTGTAGTGCGTTTGTTACCAAAAACACACTGCAGTCAGGAAAAGAGGACTCCCTTAGCCAACACTGAGGGATCCACTAAAATATGCAATGTGTGTATTGAGAATAACATTAATACAATAGGTTCCTTCACATTTCCACATGTTTAAAAGGAGTCATAGAGATTTCATTTATGTTTAAGCAACTGACTTGTAATAATCCTGTCTCTGTTTTGTAAGAGAGGGGTTACATTCAATTACTCCTCCCACAACCAGTTGTAAGATTATTCCATTGGTGAGCAGTACTGATTGGACTGATATCTGCAATGGTTACTGATCAGAGATTTCTGTGTAACACATGCTAGTACCAGACTCATGTGTTTACCTGGACTTACTTCCCTGGGAATAATTCTTTCTTGGGAAGAATGAACATGCCAATTATGATGGAATATACATAATTTTTGTTAATTGGGTCCATAATTGGTAGATCAGTTGATAGCTTTTAAAACCACTTCTCAACTTGCAAATTATATGTTATTACTTTATTTTATGAATTACTTAAACATTAGCTATATACTTAATCATGCAAAAATATTTAAAAGATTAAACAAAAGCTAAAATATCAACAATGATATAGACTTACAGTGTACATAGACGTCTATAATATTAGCACAACTAAAGTGACTACTTTAGACCATTTTTATGGTTCAAATATCCCCAAATATCACAGAAAACCAACAGATGGTAACTACATTAAATTGCAGAGTAAAATAGCAGGCTCTAGTAACTTAAGGAAACTTGAAAATAATATTAGTAGGTATAAATATTGGTAGGTCTTTTATCCTTAAATACGTCAAAACAATGGAAAATTCTTGGCCTTTTGTTAGAGTGTGAAGAATTATAAAATCATCGTTGATTATAATGCTGATGTAAGATTAAGAGAAGCTTGCCACCTAGTCCACATATCAATATTTTCTTAATTAACATGTAATTCCTTATATAGAGAGTTCTATAGCACTGAACCTATAATTCCTTATTGAATATATTTATTTCTTAAAGGAACAACTGTTCCTTTAGAAGACTGGTATACAAACTTAACATGAATACAGTAATACTGTAAGCATCTTCAGAAAGTAATTTGATCAATATGAATTGTTAGTACTACATTTTTGAAGTTTACTAGAAAAGGATATATAAAAACAATTCATAACTCCCTTTCTGTTTGACACAAAAACTCAGGAAAAATGTACATTTTCGTGACAAAGTTTGACTCATTTTAAAGAACATGAAATTGAAAAAGAGGGAGTGAGTGAAAGGTATAACATTTTATAACAAGGAAGAATTTGGGGTATTTTCTAGTCAAAGCCTATCCTTGGCAGATAATAGGATGGTAAAAGAAGAGGAGTGAAGTGATTTGGCCACAGGTCACTGAATCGATTGCCCTTGGGTCGATTCTGACTTATAAACTCTCTGGAGAACAGAAGACAGTTGTCCTTGTTGGTTTCCCAGGCTGTAACTTTTGTGGGAACAGAACATGATCTCATGCATGGTTCCCCAATGACCTTAAGGCTATAGCCCAACCCAGAAGCCACTCTGCGCCTAGGACTCTGCTGGCCAACGCTGAACAGGATGCTCCTCGGCAGTAGATTTCCTTGCTGCTGATTCCCTGGTCATACCCCAGTGCATCCAGGACCTGCATGCACCATCCTTTTCTGTTAAAACCTACTTCCCAGTGTAAGAACCCTTATAAATATGCCTGGATATAGACATGCAGCTAGATTGAGCAATGATTTTCCAGGACTGTAACAGAAATCCACAGATATATATGGGATATAGAAAACAATGGAGTAAAGTACGAAGGCAAGTAAGTAAAATCAGGCGTTATTTTTTACGGAGTTAGCATATCAGTTCACATCAAGAGTTTACCTGAGGAAATGTTTCCTTTTTGTCTTCCAGTAAAGACTGAGGTGCTGACAGAAGATCCCTGTCCTCACAGGTGTCATGGCTGATGAGTGTGTCGGCGTAGTTGGGCTGCGGGAAGATCAGGTGGCTCCTCTGGGAGTCTGCGGTGAGTGAGACCTCATGGGAATAGGTCTGCAGGAAAGCCCGCACCCCGTCCACATCCACAAAGTGAGAGGCGGACACATCTGCCATGCCTCTACCCCGGAGCAAGCGTGACTTGTGCCAGCGGTGAAGCCTGAGTGCTGTCAGCACAATGACAAAGGCCAGGAAGACGCAGGAGACCACCGCTACAGCCACCACCAGGTACAGCGTGAGGCCTGAGTCATCAGGGTCTGCAGGGGCCTTGATGCTGTCCAGGTCGGCTAGGACTTCAGGGATGCTGTCAGCCACGGCCACGGTGAGCGTGATGGTGGCAGAGAGAGGAGGCTGACCGTGGTCTTGCACAGCCACCACCAGGCTCTGCTTGAGCGCATCCCTGTCCTGCAGGGCCCGCGCTGTGCGCACCTCGCCTGTGTGCACGCCCACCGCGAAGAGCCCTGGCTCGCTGGCCTTGAGCAGGCGGTAGGACAGCCAGGCGTTCTGTCCAGAGTCTCTGTCCACCGCCACCACCTTGGTGACCAGGTAGCCCGGCTCTGCAGAGCGAGGCGCTAGTTCCACACCAGTAGAGCCATCGGTGGGGAGCGTGGGGTACAGGATCTCAGGAGCATTGTCATTCTGGTCCAGCACTAACAGGCTTAGTGACACGTTGCTGCTGAGGGATGGGTCCCCGCTGTCACTGGCAGCCACCCACAGGTGCAGGGCTCGAAACTGCTCATAGTCAAAGGAGCTCAAGGCATATAAGACTCCTGTGTCTGCATTGATGGAGACATAGGAGGACAGGGGCGCCTCCTGGATGGTTTGCTCCACCAAAGAGTAGGTTACATGTGCGTTGTCACCGCTGTCAGGGTCATGGGCCATCACAGAAAAGATGGAGGCGCCTCTAAGATTGTTTTCGGGAATGTAGGCAGAATAGGAAGTCTGTAGGAAGGCAGGCGGGTTGTCATTGATGTCTGTCACCTGCAGTAAAACTTGAGCATTGGAGGACAGAGGCGGGTTCCCTTCATCGTTAGCGGTCACACTGATGTTGTAGAGGGAAATCTGTTCCCTGTCCAGGGGCTTGGTTGTAACTAGTCGATAGTAGTTGTCCACCGACCTCTCTAATTTGAAAGGAAGGTCCTGTGGGAGTGAACATTGGAGAAATGCGTTCTGCCCAGAGTCCTTGTCGTGCACGTTGAAAAGGGCAATCATGGTTCCTGGGGGAGCATCTTCAGGAACTGAGCTGGTAACAGAAGTCATGTAAAATTCTGGGGCATTGTCATTCACGTCCAGAACAGTGACCATGACCTTGGTTCTGGTCAGAAGGCCTGGACCATCTTGAGCTTCTATATCTATTTCATGGTATTTGACATCTTCATAATCTAGATTTTTGGTGATCACAATATCTCCGGATGTCGACTTAAGCTCAAATACCTCTGATGTTTCTTTAGGCTTTTTTTCTCGAAAGTATGCCACTTCAGCGTTGTGCCCCTCATCTGCGTCGGTGGCAGTGACCGTGAGTATTCGGGTGCCAACAGGCACGTTCTCTGGGACACTGACATGGTACTCAGGCTGAGTAAACACCGGCGCGTTGTCGTTCGCATCCAGGACTGTCACTCGGATCCGTAAGGTGCCCGATCGGATGGGGTCACCCCCGTCGGAAGCGACGAGGAGGAGATGGTGGACTGCCTCTTGTTCGCGGTCCAGGGCACGCTGCAGCACCAGCTCCGGGTGCTTGTTCGCGTCTGCTGCGCTTCGCATTTCCAGGGAGAAGTGGTCATTTGGGCTGAGCTCGTATTTCTGCAGGCTGTTCCCGCCAATGTCTGCATCACGAGCGCTCTTAAGAGGAATTCGGAATCCTGGTGTGGTGGTTTCACTGATTTTTATTTCCAATTCTTCTACTCCAAAGTGAGGAGTGTTGTCATTGATGTCTGTTATTTCGACCTCCACCGAATAAATATTTAGTGTATCCTCTAGAAGGATGTTAAAGTTCAGGAGACAGGGCGCGCTCTGGGCGCAGAGCTCCTCGCGGTCGATCCTGCCCGCAGTGACGAGGCTGCCGCTCCGCGGGCTCAGAGCGAAAAGCTGCGCCCTACCTCTGGAGACGATGCGGACGCCGCGCTCCGCCAGGGCCACGGGCTCCAACCCCAAGTCTTTGGCGATGTTGCCCACGAAAGCACCTTGGTCGCTCTCCTCTGGCACAGAATAGCGCATCTGTCCAGCCGCGGCCCCCCACCGGGCCGCCCAAAGGACGCACAGCAGGACCAGCCTTCTGCAGTGGGGGGACTTTGGCCGAGCCGCCATTTCCCTGTGCCGCAGTCTCTTCTCGGGGTCAAGAGCCAGGATTCCCACGTTCACCCCCCAGAGTCCGAAGTGGCAGCAGTGGCCGATCAGCACCCTGTGGAGACTCCCAGTGAGGCCGCTGGGCCGAGTGTTCAGGCGTTCCGGAGGACTGTGTGACCAAATTAGCAGCCCTTTGCGTTGTGAGAGCCGAAATGTGGGACCTTTTCGCTGCCTATTACTCCTTAGATAGATGGTCAACAGCGACGCTCAGAGGCCTAACTCATTTCTGCAGCGGTTCAGGCAAAACCCAAGTTACCTGCCTAATTTCACCTTGTGATTTTCAGTAACTTTAAAGTATTACAATGATCTGAGATAGTATAAAAGTCATTGTCAAGGCAGAGATTCTCTTCCTAGGTATAATGAAAACATTGTACACAAGTGTCCTTTTGATCATTGCTGCTTTGAAAGTACTGCGGCACCCTCAAGGCTGCTGTGCCCTTTCTCCAAACACCTACTGCTTATTTTATCCTTGGAGAGATAAGAGCAATTCCAAATCACTGGGGACAGTATTTTATAAGGTTATATGTCTTGAATTAGTATGCTTGGTGGTTGACATGTAACATCAAAAACTGTATTTTACTTATGAATGATCAAATGCTTAATTGGATCGCTATTATTTGTTGCCACTTTGCCTGGTGCTGGGTATTCAAAGTGGTGGACACAACCCTGTCCTCAGGAGGCTTACAGTGTAGTGAAGAACACAGAAAAGTCAACAGAATCAAATGGCAGAGCATTACAACTGCTATGAGAGTGGGAAGTAGTGGTAGGGGATATGTATTGGTAAATATACATCCACCTATGCTTGGGGACCAGAATGTACTTTCTCAGCACATGGCTGAAGCTGAATCATAAAGTGTCACATTGGATCAATAGAGAGGGTGGGGTAGTCTTCTTGAACTTCAGTTCAAATGCTTAGGCTAGAGCCATAGCAAGGAACATTAAGAAAACCCAAAGGGGTTCTATTGGCTAACACTAAAGCAGGAAGGGCCTTTTCACTACATGGAAAGCCAATCACTCACAATTGTTTGAAGTTGCCAAGTCATTTTTTAAAAACACTTAGTGTTTTCTAAGGGTATGAAAATACTATAGTGCGATTCATTTTACTCCTTTTTCATTTTTTTTCCTTTTTTCATTTTTATGTAGGTATGCATCATTTATATTTTAAACATTAAATTGAAAATATTTTACATGTGCAGTTGAGAAAATGCTACAACTAAAAGCTATGTACATACAGAGTTATCAAATATTAATATCTTAGCTCACCTAATTGTGGTCAGTTTTTATAATTTGAAATAAGCTCAGACTTACTGAAAAGTTAGTAATTCCCATATACACTTTATCCCTACTACCCAAAATGTTAATATTTTACTGAATTAATTTCATACTTTTCTCCTCTCCTTCTTCCTTTGAACTATATATTTATGTCACCTATTTCATTATCTTTGTGTAATTACCATAATTTTAATAAAGTTGATACATGTCAGGGAAGTTTCACCTACTTTGTTCATTATTTTTATTGTTGTTTTATGTTTGCTTTTGTATATATATGTACATATATATTTGGATCAAGTGTAAGGAAAATATCATTGATAATATAATTGGCATCATGTTCAAGTTATGTATTAATTTGGGGGGAGTTGATACACTTTTCATAATTCTTAGGCTAGACAGGTATTTTTATGTTTCAATAATATTTTTCTCTTTAAAGCTTTTGATTATGGTTTTATGGAGTACCTTATAATTTGTGTTGCTGTTGGAAATGAAATATTTTTTCATATTTATTTTGTGTATTTGTTGCTGATTAATAGAAAGCTATTGATTTTTAGTATATTGATCTCATACTCAGCCATGTTATGGAGCTCATTTATTCTAATAATTGTCTGTAAAATTATTTGGCTATTTGTATGTGGAAAATTCACAATGTCTATAAAAGCCAATGTCTTAAAAAACAAACAAAAAGCCTGTTCCATTCCAATTTTTATAGCTATTACTTAATTTTCTTTCCTATTTGCATTGTTTAGTTCATGCAATATCACCACATCTGCCTTACTTTTATTGTAGTAGAAAAATTTTACTGTTACATATATGACATTTTGGGTTTTTAATAAATATTCTTTAACATGTTATGCAGTTGTTGAATTTAATAGTTGTTAATGCTGTATTCAGAGTGACTTTCTCTCACAATCTTCCAGTTCACTAACCTTATATTCAGCTGTCTCTAATATAATTCTCTTTCGTTTTTATAAATATGTAGGTGACAAAATATTGTCCATCTCAGCCATTTTTACCTATCGGAGACATTAGCTATGTCCTGTACACTTCCATGGTCTTCAACTTGTTGCATAACTTCTGCTGCATAACCATGAGAATTGGTAGGGAGTGTTTTAATGCAAGCCACCCCCCCTTACTTTCACTAGCCAAGGGGCATCACTGCTTATTTTAGATTCAGGTAGTCTAGTCTAAGGCACTTTTGTTTCCCATTACACAGTTGGGGTCATTTTCTTGATCTGCAGTGCCTGCTTTTAATTCTAAGAAGTCCTATGATTTTAGGCTAACTTACCACTTTCTGATATGGCTGATCTATCGATCTAGATATATAGAATATACATATATTCTATCTGTTCACCTCTTTTCACCCTCCCTTTTTAATGGTTTAATGGGAAGGCAAGCTTTATTTTACAAAAACAAAACAAAACCGAAAAGAGTACCATGATTACAAACTGGCTAAACAGAGACACACAAATGTGTCCATTTGGTAAAGTCTTCTTTGGTAGTCTCTCCAATTCCTGCTGTTTGCCTAATGGTTACTGGCTTCCTTTTTAGGATGAAATTAAAACGGTAGGCTTTTAGGTGCCCATAGGGTTTTATCAAAATACAATCCTATTTCAGGAAAGGCAGCACTCTCAGCCAACGTGGTGGGAGTCTGTTAAAATATTAAATACTTGCATTGAGAATAACATTAATCCACTCATCCTTGTCACAGTCCAAATTTTAAAGAGTCACTGAGATTTAATTCATGTTTTAAGCAAATGGGTTGGTAATAATCCTGTCTCCACTTTGTAGGGGGTGGGTTATACTCAGTTACTCCTCACAGAGACAACAGGAAGCTTATTCCATTGGTGTTGCACACTGATCGGGTTGGCCTCCGCAATGGTACCCAAATAAATGGGACTCCCGGATAACACGCACTGGTGCCAAGCACACATGTCTGCTGAGCCCTTGTTCTGATATCACACAATATAGTGAATTGGTGATGCTCCTCCCAAGGCCACTGGGCAGTTTCTTGATTCACTTCTGCCCTGTCCAGACATCTCGGAGAGTCAGAGCAGAATCAGACCTCAGGCCCCAAGGTCGGCTCTATGCTAGACTCTGTGCTGGAGTCCTCTTCTGATTTCCTGGTTTTGAATTTCATCTATCTTTATAATATCTCAGAGAGGAGTAAGTCAAAGCATGAACTTACTCCTCTGGTGAAGAGTTAGCATAGACATTAAAATGAAATACGCATGATATTTGTTAGTGGGCTCTATTACAGGTATAATGTATCAGAGGTTTTAAAGTGACTTCTCAAGTTGCACATTACATTTTCTGTTCATTTTATCAGTAACTTTAACATTGGATATGTACTTTATCATGCATAAATATTTTGCAAGCTTAAACAAAGAGCTAATATATTCAACAACCATTTAAACTTGCAGTGTCCATAAATTTCAGTAACATCGGCACAACTAAAAATACTAATTTAGGCTATCTTGACTCTTCTAATATGCCCAAATACATGATCATAACATACAGATAATATCTAAATTAAATTGAAGCTTAAAATCAAGCCCCCAAACCCCAAGTCACTGCCATGGGCAAATTCTGACACATAATGACCCTAATAACTCAAGAAAATTTGACAATAATCTTAGTAACATACATTTTCATGGGTCTTTTTATTCTCAAATATAAATCAGAATAACTTAGAATTCTTTACACTTTCTTAGAATGCAAAAAGTTATAAAATCATCATTGACTATAATGCTGATATAAAAATTGAGAAATGCCAACTAACTTGTCCACCTATAAGTATTTCCTTAATGAATCTGGAATTCCCAAATGTATACATAAATTTAAATTCCTTATGTGTAGTTCCTTAACACTATGTCTATAATTTCTTTTTTAAAAATCATTTTATTGGGGGCTCGTACAACTCTTATCACAACCCATCCATCCATGCATAGTGTCAAGCACATTTGTACATTTGTTGCCATCATCATTCTCAAAACATTTGCTTTCTACTTGAGCCCTTGGTATCAGCTCTTCGTTTTTGCCCCTGTCTATAATTTCTTAATGAATATATTAATTTCCTCAAGGAACAACTGCTTTTTTAGAAAACTGTTATACAAACTTAACATGAGCAGAGTTATACAATAAGCATCTCCCTGATATAAGTTTATCAATGTAAATTATCAACACTACAATTTTGACACTCTCTAGGAAGGGACTTAGAAAAATATACCTCATAGCCCACTTTCTATTTCACCTATAACCTCAGGAAGTATGTAACATTTGGTAACAAAGGATTATCTACTTGACTCACATTAAAGAACTTGGAAATTAAAAAGCTGCAATGAGATTTACAATAAGCATTTAAACAAGCAAGGATTGGGGAAATTTTCTAATCAAACCCTACTCTTTGCAGATAATTGGATGTTAAAACCAGAGAAATAAGATTATTTGGCCAGAAGTAATCAGACTCACTGCCATGAGGCCATCTTGATGTATAGTGACTCTATATGACAGAATGTAACTGTCATTATGGGTTTGGGAGGTGATATAGCTTCATAGAGCAGCAAGTTGTATCTCTTCCCCTCGTGGTGACTGCTGGTTTTGAACTGCTGACCTTCCAACATGTAAGCCACAACACCACCAGGGGTCCTTTGGCCAGGGATAAGCAAGAAGGTCTGAGGAGCTAGCTCTCCTTGCTGCTAATGCAGTGCTCTGACCCCAGTGGAGAGAGCACCCTCATGCCTCATCCTCTTCACCCGATCCACCCACATTCTGATGGCACGGTACTTTTCCATGGAAAATCAATTATAAATACATCTGAATATAAACATGCGGCCATGTTGAACAATGACTTTCCGGGGCTTGTAATAGAAATCTACGGCTAGATAGAGAAATACCCTGGGGCTTCAAGATCAGTGGTCTAAAAGCACCAGCTGCCCTGAGGGAGAAAGACGAGGCTTTCCACCCTCACAAGGACTTACAGTCTTGGAAACGGCAGGGCAGTTCTATCCTGCCCTACAGGGTGGCTCTGAGTTGGAATCGACTCCAGAGCAGTGGATTTGGTTGTTTTTTGTTTTTTCGTAGTTAAGAGTGAGGATCAGTAAGTAAAATGAGGATAAATAAATATATATATATATATATATTTTTTTTTTCTTTTACGGAGTTAGCATATCAGTTCACAACAAGAGTTTACCTGAGGAAATGTTTCCTTTTTGTCTTCCAGTAAAGACTGAGGTGCTGACAGAAGATCCTTGTCCTCACAGGTGTCGTGGCTGATGAGCGTGTCGGCGTAGTTGGGCTGCGGGAAGATCAGGTGGCTCCTCCGGGAGTCTGCGGTGAGTGAGACCTCATGGGAATAGGTCTGCAGGAAAGCCCGCACCCCGTCCACATCCACAAAGTGAGAGGCGGGCACATCTGCCATGCCTCTACCCCGGAGCAAGCGTGACTTGTGCCAGCGGTGAAGCCTGAGTGCTGTCAGCACAATGACAAAGGCCAGGAAGACGCAGGAGACCACCGCTACAGCCACCACCAGGTACAGCGTGAGGCCTGAGTCATCAGGGTCTGCAGGGGCCTTGATGCTGTCCAGGTCGGCTAGGACTTCGGGGATGCTGTCAGCCACGGCCACGGTGAGCGTGACGGTGGCCGAGAGAGGAGGTTGGCCATGGTCCTGGACAGCCACCACGAGACTCTGCTTGAGCCCGTCCCTGTCCAGCATGGCCCGCGCTGTGCGCACCTCCCCTGTGTGCACGCTCACAGCAAAGAGCCCTGGCTCGCTGGCCTTGAGTAAGTGGTAGGACAGCCAGGCATTCTGCCCGGAGTCTCTGTCCACCGCCACCACCTTGGTGACCAGGTAGCCAAGTTCTGCTGAACGGGGTGCCAGCTCTACACCGGTGGAACCATCAGTGGGAGTGGTGGGGTACAGGATCTCAGGGGCGTTGTCATTCAGGTCCAGCACGAACAGATTCAGGGATACATTGCTACTAAGTGATGGCTCCCCATGGTCTCTTGCTGTTACCCACAACTGCAGCTCTTGGAACTGCTCAAAGTCAAAGGAGCGCAGCGCATACAGGACTCCGGTGTCAGAATTGATGGAGAAGTAGGAGGACACAGGCACCCCCTGTATGGTGTCCTCTGCCAAGGAGTAAGTGACTCGTGCGTTCTCATCGCTGTCAGGGTCGTTGGCAGTCACGGAAAAGATGGAGGCAGCTTGGGGGTTGTTTTCATGAATGTAGGCAAAGTAGGCTTCCCGGAGGAAGGCTGGGGGGTTGTCGTTGGTATCTGTGACAAGCAGTGGAATGTGAGTTACAGTTGTTAGAGCTGGAGTTCCTTCATCCGCTGCTGTTACTGTGATGTTGTACCCAGAGATGAATTCTCTGTCCAGCATTCGTTCCGTTACTAGACGGTAGTAATTATCCACTAACTTTTCTAACTTGAAGGGTGGGTTTCCAGAAATGAAACACGTGGTACGGCCGTTGTCTCCAGCGTCCTGGTCGTGCACATTGATAAGAGCAATTATGGTCCCTGGAGGAAAGTTTTCTGGAATTGCAGTGGTGACAAAGGTGATGGTCATCTCAGGGGCATTATCATTCACATCTAGAACTGTGACCAGCACCTTGGCTCTGGCCATGAGCCCTGCACCATCCTGAGCTTGAATTTCCATTGGATATACTTCATACTCTTCAAAGTCCAATGGTTCTTTATTTACTATTTCTCCAGTATGAGAATCCAGCTGAAATATTTGGGCCATTTTGTGGTCTATATTGTGAAATGAGTACGTTACTTCCCCGTTGACTCCCTCATCGGGGTCTGTAGCATTGACTATGAGCAGGCGAGTGCCCAGTGGCACGTTCTCAGGGACACTTATGTGGTATTGAGCTTGAGCAAACGCTGGAGGATTGTCGTTGGCATCCACCACCTGAACACGTATGTGAAGGGTGCCAGAGCGGACTGGGTCACCTCCGTCGGAGGCGGTGAGCACCAGGTGGTGGACAGCTTCTTTTTCCCTATCCAGGGGGCTCTGTAGCACCATCTCTGGCTGTAGGGGCCCGTCCGCTCCCTGTTGCACATCGAGGGAGAAATGAGGGTTGGGGCTGAGCTGGTAGCTCTGGAGCGAGTTCATTCCCACATCGAGGTCTTGCCCAAATGGCAGAGGGATCCTGGTGCCTACATTGGTTATTTCATTCATCTTAACTTCCAGTTCTGCTAACTGGAATTGGGGAGTATGGTCATTAATATCAATGATTTCCACTTCGACAGGGAAAAGCTTCATGTTTTCCTGTAATAGGATGTTGAAGTTCACCAGGCACCGCGCGCTCTGGGCGCAGAGCTCCTCGCGGTCGATCCTGCCCGCCGTGACCAACCTGCCGCTCCGCAGGTTCAGAGCAAAAAAGGGCGTCTTACCTCTGGAGACGATGCGGACGCCGCGCTCCGCCAGCTCTTGGGGTTCCAGGCCCAGGTCCTTGGCGATGTTGCCCACGAAGGAACCTTTGTCTGTCTCTTCAGGCACCGAGTAGCGAATCTTCTCGGCCCTGGCTCCCAACAGCAGCCCCCACAAAAGGCACAGCAGGGTCAGCTCCCTGCGTCCTGGCAGATGAATTCCCATCGCCGGCGGTTGGTAATTTTCTGCTAGTCCGCTACCAACAACACAGTTTCTCAGCCGTTCGGAGCCCAAATCAACCGAATTTTCAGGAGAATCCAGAGCACCAGTCGTCCAGAACTAGAGTTTGGGGCAGACTCTGATCTGGCAACAAATAAGGCTCTAAGAGATGCAGGATTTCTTTTTCTTTAAGTGAGGGTCCGTGTATCTCCCAGGTTGGTGAACAGCGGCGCCCAGAGGCCTAAGCAGTTACTGCACACCTAGGGAAAAACTTCGCAACCCGATCTACCATTATTAGCTCTTTGTTTCTTGGTCTGTAACACAGGTGTAAGAAGGATAAACTCCTGTGTCTATGTACTTAAATGTGTCTAAATTCCACAGAATTGCAATACATATTGTAATTCTAGCATTCTGAAGCTATTTGCTTCCCCCTTTTGATATTCAAGGAAGAGCAGAGAGCTCTCTATTGCCAGAAAGAGAAGACAACCACTTCTCCTGTGTTGGATAGCTTGACGACTTGACCGATTTCAAAGCTGCCTAAATTAGAAGAGTTTCTCTTTGATGAAGAAGGGCGGGGGCAAGGAAGAAGTAAAAAGAAACTCTTAGAAAGTAAGGTAGGCCCTTTAAATTGGGCCATCCCATATCCTTTTCATTGAGTTCTGGGTACTTATCAGAAGCCTTGGACTATTGAAGGCCGTATTTTATCCAAAGGTAAGATATTTCAAATTAAGTAGCATTAACATAAAACCCTCATTGTCAATGAGTTGATTCTGACTCATAGTGGTAGAGTAGAACTGCCCCTGTAAGTTTCTGCAGCTGTAAATCATAAAGCCTAATTTTTCTCCTGTGGAGAGGCTGGTAGGTTTGAACTGGCAACTCATAATGTGTAAATCATTATGCTACCAGAGCTCCCATGCCTATGGCCATGAACGTGCCTGATCTGCTGTGAAAGTCACACCGGACCCTGAAACTGTACAGGAAAAAAAATCACAAGGACATATAATTTAGGCTTCACATTTAAGAGACTGAAAAAGTGACGTTTCTTTTCAGAGCTGAAAAGAAAAAGGCCAGATTCTTGATGGTGTAGTGGTTATGTGTTGGGCTGCTAACTGCAAGGGCAGCAGTTCAAAATGACCAGTAAAGACTTACAATCTCTGAAAGTCACAGGGATATAGACCTACCTTATAGGGTCACTGTGAGTTGGCATTGACTTGATGACAGCGAGTTTTTGAAATTGGAATAATATGTGTTCTATCATCACATTTAATATCATCACAAAGAAGTTTGCTTTCTTAAATAACAGTATTTATAAATTAGGAAGCTGGGTATTTTGCCATCCTTCTTTTACCTAGTTTAATGTTATGAAAGGTAGTGAATATAATGTCTTATTTATTTATCTTTTCTCAAAAGTAAGGAAAAAAATGCTCTATGCACTCCAGAGTTTGGTATTTTCAGGAGCAAACAGAGCCCGATACTGACAGTCAGCCAAGGGACCCCATGACTGAGAAGGAGCAGGAAAACATAGGAACAAAGAAAACAATGAAACAGAACAACCGTTTTCAGAAAGAGAATTTCCATTCTTCTATATTGGCTTCTCAAAGATAGGTGTACAGAGCCAAGGGATAGAAATTTAAAGATGCAGTGAACCCTCAGTTTGCAAGGGGAGGGCTCTTTTAACAGGAAACATACATGATTAAGTACAAACTGTTTACTATAGAGAAATTGTCCAGGTTAATAAAGCACATAATATTTTTTTAAAACGGAGGTAGCAATTAATTTGTAGAACTCTCCCCACCCCAATGGCAACAACAAAATAGCAAGGTTGATTTATAAAAGTATGATACTTCAGAAATGAAGCAGTCAAAGTTCGCAGGGAGACATATTTGAATCCAACATGATAGTTAGGGCTTCGTAACCTGCAGAAATTAACAGTTGGAAATATCTGAAAGTAACAGTTGGAAATATCTGAAGGCTCATGGAGACCGTAAGAACGGGGCAGTTTCCTCCAATGTATGTAGGGGTGTGTGTGTTAATTCCCCACCCATCCCTGAGGCAGATACTGGGCAGAAAGCAGTCCCTGGAGGACCTGGAGGGACGTCGTAGGTGCAGGGTGAGGGACAGAGTCACAGGGAGGAGAGAGCACTAAGATCATGTCAAAATCCAGGAAAACTGACATTCCGATTATTTGAGGGTTGCTCTACTGCAAACTACCAGTGGCTTGCCTGTACTCTAGTATCCCCTGAGTGAAAGACCAGGTTAACCCGGAGGCCTCATGTCAGAAGCCAAGCGTTGGATCACAGTTTGTGTCCATCGAGGCGACCAGACAACTAAGCAGCAGAAATCATGATGGTGTCTTGTTTAAGAGGACCATGCTGTTGGACTCAGTTGCCATGCTTGTGTGGCTGTGGAGCACCATCATCATAGGCATGCCCTGAAGACTGAGCCCTGTAGAACCTTGGCCATGAACTTGTCAAGTCAGCTCAAATGGTAGGTTGAACAAACACCATCCATTCTAGACTTATCAACAGGTAGAATGATTGGGCTCAAGGGCCGGAGAGAGGAGATGAAGTGGGGTCCAGGGAGGCACTAGGCAGGAGTTTCTGACAGCCTGAAACAAATAAGAGGCCTCCTGGAAAAAGGAGCCTTATTGTTGATATGGGGTGATGCTTGTGCTGGATGATGACACTATATCTCAGGGTTTACTCCCAGTGTAGGATTCCATCTGTCGATAATTTGCAAAGAATTATATAGCATTTCCTGGAGATGAATTGTTTTCCAGAGATCATTACCATTATAATTTTTACCTCTTTATTGAAGCAAGTCTCTTGGTCCTGTTGCTTTGGTTATCGCAATCACAGTTCTTGGTCTTGCTTCTGTTAGGACTAGCATCTTAGATAAAAGTTGCTGCCACTACATTATAATTCCCAATCTCCATTTCAACCAGGATACCAAAACAGATTCAAATTGCTCCCACTTTTCTCTTCTTTTCTCTTCTGCTCCATGCTGTAACTGTCACTCTCCAAAGTCAAGTACTGTGTGGTCGTTGGACGTGAATATATCCTATATGCCCTGCAAGATTGTGGGAAAAGGGTAGGAGACCTCTGCATAACGTAGTTCATCTCAGTCAACGAGAATATCCCAGAATGCGAAGGAGTTGGAAGAGTGGTTCTCCTGCAGGCCAGCTCGGCTGTACGCCTTGTGGTTTCCAACTGTAAGCTTGCCATTTCCATCCAAGACCCAGAGCGCTTTGCCCTTCTCCCTCCCACTGCTAACGGGTGGTAGCTCTCCGGCTCAGTCCATGGTTTCTCCAGGAGAAAGTTCAATGACTTACTGCCTTGATCTCCTTTACTTAGGGGTGGGGGTGGTTATTGAAATGAATTTTATAAATTTGTGAGAATTGCTGCCAGCATCCCAACCTATCTCGGATTAAAGCGAAAAGTTTGCACCTATGAAGACATTTCTCAGGATTTCAAAAAACAAAATACCTATTAAAATGCATTAGGTATAATTTATATTCAGAATGAATACATGTACAGTTAAAAAAGAAAGAAAGAAAGAAACGTTCACGGGATTTTCAGCGAAGCTTTCAGATTCAAAGGGCCTAGAGACATCCTCCTGCATAATCAGCTGGATTTAGCCTGTCATTCTCACATTTGTCCCTGCCCTCTTCCCTCGGGGTAAGGAAAGTTTTCTCAGCACTCACCCTTAGGTTTCTGGACACCGAGTCCTAGATCTTAGGCGAGATCCCCCGCCCTTGAGGCCCAGGGCTTCAGTATCTCCAGGTGTCCCGGCTGCGTGTTCTCCGAGCAGAACAAAGACAGCCCGAAGGCACGCAGTGCTTCCTGACGCCCCGGGCGCCTTCTCTCGGCCTCTGGGTGCGGCTGCTCAGATTTGAAGATGGCCGCCACGGTTTCTCGCGGATTTCAAAGGTGCGCTGGACACTCCTGATACCTCCGGATGTTCCTGAATGATCTATTTGGAACAGATTCGGGGGAGAGAACTTGCAGAGACCCTTTCTTGCCGGATCGCCGCACCAGATGGCTAGTGGAAGGCTTCGCTTTGCTTCAGCTACCGCTCGACCGACAGCGGCACCCAGAGGTCCAGCTCGTTCTCTACCGCCTGCTATTCCAGTTATTTCTCAAAGTCTCCTTTGCCTGCGCAGGAGCCGGGTGAGGCTGTCTTCCACAGAGCGACAGTCTCTCGGACCCCCCCTCCCCCCGGGGCAGTTCTGTTCTGTGCCATAGGGTCACTATGAGTCGAAATGAACTCCATGGCCAAGAGTGATAGAGTGAGAGTCTGTCTGATTTTATTTTAGAATATTAACTGGTTTAGAATAAAGGGGGCCAATAATTATTTCCTCACCAAAAGGTTAATAGAACGGTCTCTCCAGAAAATTGAAATAAAACATTTTTGTCCTGTTATTTTAAAATTCACATTGGCTTAAAATAGGAATTGTTACCAAAGTTTCCCTTCTGACATTTCTTTTTGAAGAAGTCAATATGCTATCGAAGTTGCCTTTCTTAAAAAAATAAAAGAGGCTACTCAACAGCTTTTCCATTTAAACATACTTCTGTAGCAAATGAATTCGATGATATAAAAAAATCTTCATATTAAAAAATGTAGAGAACGCATGGAACTGTATGTGATCTCCTCCCTGGGGGACAGACAACCGAAAAGTGGATGAAGGGAGACGTCGGACAGGGCAAAATACCCATTTATAAACTATCAAGGGCTCATGCGGGAGGGGGAAGCGGGGAGGGAGGGGAAAAATGAGGACCTAATGTGGGGGGTTAAATGGAGAGAAAATATTTTGAGAAACGATGTACAAATGTGCTTTACACAATTGATGTGTGTATGGATTGGGATAACAGTTGTATGAGCCCCTAGTAAAATGTTAAAAAAAAAGAAAGAAAAAAAATGTAGAGAATGCTGACAAAAATTTAAATCACCAGTAGTTGCATTATATAATTACTGGTAAAATGAGTTTTTGTATTCAAAGGATATCTACCCACATTTTGCACATATATGCTTTATAATAAAAAATCAGTTCTTGAATGATTGGTGGCCCACTCCATTCCCCCTCCCCCACTTTTGTTGTTTAG